CCTTGCCGCCGGTGGACTTGCGAGCGGTCTGCTTAGTACGAGCCATGGCAGATAAAGAGAAAACAGTAGACGGACGCTAGCCACGCGGCTATTTATGCTGGAAAGCCGCTGCTCTGATTGGATCCTGGCCAGCAGCATTTAGGCTTCCGTCGGAATTTGCGGAAGTGCATCTAGGTATTGACGATTGGCTGATTCTAGTAGTGCGATGTTTGATTGCTAAATAACCAACGGTAATTCCGCCCCCTTAAATAATAAGGCTCTAAACGGTCGTTTGTGAGACTCTTAAGCCCGGAGACATTTCACGGACGAACGTTACTCGTGTCGTCTTCCGGTTTGAATTTCATTCATTGTACACAAATCATGTTCCCGGAACAAATTACTCCAGAATTTTAGTTAAACCATTTCCCTGCCTCGGCCATTTTCCCGCTAGTTATTTCTCATATACATATCTGGAAATTACTAATGCAGCTTATCTGGCGGCGATTACCTGTCAGGAGCCATGCTGATTTCCAACTCCAGGTTCCCAGAGCCGTTCTCCACCTAGAAAAACTCTTCGGGCCTGTTATTTTCCACTTGTTATTGTCATAGATATGAGTATAGTTTTTTATGTTTAAAATGTAAATAAAATTTCGAGAGACCACGATCGCTTTGTTTTGTGTTTGAGCAGAGTGAGAAACTACCCCAAACCTCAATAAAGACGGCGGCGCGGTGTTTCTGAAGGTCCTTTGTGTTGTCTTGCGTTTCTTCTCTGGAGACCTGAGGCTGCGAGACAAATGATACTTTGTTCTTGCCCACATTATAGAACTTTCCTAATTTTCCGGCACAAACGGGATAGTGACAGCTTATTTTTAAATTAGTATATGGTCGGTTAATAGCAAGTATAAAAAGAATGGACAGGGTACAAAATTAACCTAGTGGTGGTCGAGCAACCTACACTATCCCTTGCAAAACAATCATTTCTTTCACCCTCCTCACAAGGTTTTAGAAATTTGGTCCAATCAGAGTTTAGATTGGTTACTCCTCGTTTGCATATTCCTGCAGCGAATAGTATTGTTGGGAAGAATCTCAGTACTTTCCTGTCATTTTACCAGGTCCAAAGTGAATATATATGATTTTTTTTTTCCCAAGCATCTTTCCATAGAGAGTGCTGGGAGACATGACTATCCTTATAGCACATCTTTTATGAGCTTTAAACTGGTAAATTGTAGTTGAGATATCAATGTTTATAACTTGCTAATAACCGCCAACATGTTTGTAAGTCCCAAAGTGAATATACATTATTGAAGTGTGACACTAATGTTAACCCACTATATTATCTAGTTTGCATAACAGGTTTAAAAAAAATTCAGTAGCTTTAAACTGAATAGATGCACTTTCTTCTAGTTTCTGCTCCTCTGGGTATGGCTTAACCAGGTCTTTGTGGGATTACAGTGAAAATGTGGACTATAGTTGAGGTTTCCTTGATATCCTATTGGAGAAGAATCATTCTGACATTCTAAATGAAGTAATTCAGATGGTATTTTGATTTATTTATTTTCTAAGAACTGTTATTGTAGTAGGTATAGGATAGGGTCCTAGATCTAGGAATAAAAACAGGAGGCAGTCACAGGGACTGGTTAATGTGTGTGTACGGGCTGGCCAGGTTGTCATATGTATGGGGAACTGAGCATCTCACATGTGGCCTTTCCTCCTTCTTCCTCTCATTCTAGCAGTCCCCAGGTAATAATTTTAAATTTCCTACCATATTATAGATATCTAGGTATGAGAGACACACAAACCAAAGATCATAAAATAGACTCTGTCTTTCTATAGTCCTTGTTATGTCTGTTTGTGAGCATCAGCTCATCAGAATCCTGCATTTGCGTTAAGGCTGATTTCCTCAGAAGCCTGGGTAGCCTGTCTTTGATCAGAATTCCATAACAGTCGTTTTGTTTTCTGGCAAGGTGTCAACTGGAGTCCCTAAAAGGCTTATCGATAGCAATAGAGAGTTGGTATTCCAAAGTCAGATGGTTATTGCATAAATAATTTTATATGCTAAATTATGTTGATTTTTATCTTCTTTGTTGAATTATACAAGTAAAAATAAGGCATGAATCCAGTTCACTTTAAGGCTATGGGTCATATAAGATTGAAACCTAGGAGGGTTGACTTAAGGAGAGATGTAGCATTCTAACTTTGTTAGGGACAAAAGTCAGAAGAAACTTTACTAATCTGAAAACAGGAATGTGTTGAGACAGGGGATATTTTGAGATGCTTTTAAATATTTTTCTGTCACAATCTTGTATAAAAACTACAGAGGGGAGATAGAAGATTGAATCCATCATGACCCAATTTCCTAATTTTTCAACTATGTTCTCTGTGATGATGATTCTCAAAAGAAAGATATACATCAATACATAGCACATGAATTAGGAGCCCTCAGAAATCAAGACCCATAGAGGACCTAACTGCACACTTGGAAAGATTCAGTTCAGATTAGGTCATAGTGCTTTTTATGTGTACTCTATATAGCTTGTAATACATTTTGTTTTCCCTTGATAAAAATGAAACACATCTCCTGCAGGCACAAGGTGGGGTGTTGGTTCCTGCTTGGAAGCAGGAGGAGACAGTGTAAGTGACTGTGACTTTCTGACAGCTGCTGTTCTGTTGTTTTTTTCTTTTTCTGTTTTTAAAGTATGTGTATGGGTGTTTTACCAGCACGTGTATACATTGTACTTCATGCACGCAATGGCCTTAGAGACCAGAAGCGGGCTTCAGATCCACTGGGACTAGAGATGGTTGTCAGCTACTAAGTCTGTTTCCGGACCCTAACCTGTCCTCTGAAAAAACAGTATGTGATCCTAAGTGCTGTGTCATCTCTACTTCCCCAACAGCTTTTATTTTTCTAGTGTCTAAATGTAGCTGTAAAAAAATATGTCCAAGTTTCCTATTTGGGCCTTTTACCAGGTCAGATTTGGTGAATTGCACTGCTGCACCCAACTGCAGACAACTGCACCCAAAATAGTCAAGTGCTTTGACACCCTACTATACAGGCTCAGTTAGAAATTCCCAGTTATGCCTACTTTACATACCACACTGAAGATAAAGAATATGGGCAGAAGTGAGAGGGGAGGGCTCAAGAAGCAAACAGCTTTTTACCCAGGACTTCCGGGACCAAACCTTAATGGCCTGAGTGTGAGGAGACAGATTGTGTGGCATGTTCTTGCTCATTTTTTTTTTAAATTAAACACATTCAATTTTATATGTGTGGGTGTTTTGGTTGCATGTATGTTCACTGGTTATATCCAGAGCTCAGTAGAAGCCAAAAGAAGGAGTCAAATTCCCTGAACTGGAGAGACAGACAGCTTTTAGCTATTGTGTCATTGCTGGGAATTTAACCTCAGACCTCCAGAAGAGCAGTCAGTGCCCTTGATCTTTCAGCCAACTGTCTAGTTCCTGTTCAGTCATCCTTTTTTATTGTGATTCTCGTCTACCCAGAACTGAAGCCATTGTCCACAGCAAGTTAATATGTATCTTGAATATTCAATTTGCTTAAAGTTTGTGGTCAAATGTATGAAATCATGTTGGTGTGTGTTTGAAATGCGTATCTGAAATTCATGCCTGCCCCTCAGACAGTGCTCTTAAATATACCAGGTATGTCAGTTTTCCTCGAAAATGAAGGTGACTATTTATTTGCTTACTAAGACAAGAGATGTGGCAGCAGGGACAACCATTAACATTTATATTCTTCAAATATGAAATGTCAGTAAGATGTGCATTATTTGAAATTTTGGAGTCACATCCCTTTCCCAAGTGTATTTTCTTCAGGAAGTACAAAGCTGATTCTTTTGAATAGACTGTCACCTTAACCCAGTGACCTTAATGGCCTCTGCATTTACATTTCATTGTGTAATCCAGGAGGTCCTTCATTTCCTCTTTCAGCCTTCTGTGTGGTAAGACTGAATGAAGTCCGAGTGAAGTGGACATTTTTGGTTTCTTTGGAAACAAACTCAGCTGTGTCATGTGATGTTTTTCTGGAAATTTTGGTGAGGGGATGTTTTGTTGAAGCAGACAGATGAGAGGCCATGTCTTAGTGTTTTACTCCTGTGAACAGATGCCATGACCAAGGCAAGTCTTATAAAGGATAACATTTAATGGAGGCTGGATTACAGGTTCAGAGGTTCAGTTCATTTACCTTAAGGTGGGAGCATGGCAGGATCCAGGCAGACAGAGTCAGGCAGAGCTGAGAGTTCTACAACTTCATCTGAAGGCTGCTAGCAGAATACTGGCTTCCAGGCAGCTAGGGTGAGGGTCTTAAAGCCCACATACACAGTGATACACCTATGCCAATAGGGCTACACCTTCTAATAGTGCCACTCCCTAGCCGGAGCATATACAAATCATCACAGGGCATGTGAAATTTTGCTGGAGTGGATGCTTGAGACAACCACACAGGGCATGTGAAATTTTGCTTGGAGTGGATGTTTGGAAAGAGTGTAAACGGAACTCCACAAACAATGAAAGGATGCTTCTGTAGTGTGATCCCATGCAATGCTTTGCTGGTCTTTGCTGGTCTTTGTTGGTCTTTGCTGGTCTT